TGTCCCATCTCCTGTTGTTCCCTACCTGCCAGTTCCGCCTGCCAGTTCCCATCTTGGATGTCCCACCTCCTCACCTTAGATGTCCCATCTCCTGTGGTAAAATTCCTCTTCCCATCTCCCTACCTGCCAGTTCCCACCTTGGATGTCCCGTCTCCCGCGGTGTAAAGTCCCATGTCATGTGTAAATTGGCTCACTTATTCTCATGTCATCTGTCAAAAAAATGGAAAAATGCCTGCCCGTTAGGTCGGCGCATAACTCCCATGTCATGTGGAAAATAAAAAACCATAGCAAAATCGATACATAAATCCCATGTCATGTGCCAAAAAACATCGGCTAAATTGGCCGCAAAGTCCCGTGTCATCTGCGCCTAGTATAATTGTGATTAATTGTGATTAATAGTGATTAATAGTGATTAATAGTGATTAATTGTGATTAATTGTGATTAATTGTGATTAATAGTGATTAATTGTGATTAATAGTGATTAATAGTGATTAATAGTGATTAATAGTGATTAATTGTGATTAATTGTGATTAATAGTGATTAATAGTGATTAATAGTGATTAATAGTGATTAATAGTGATTAATAGTGATTAATAGTGATTGATAGTGATTAATTGTGATTAATAGTGATTAATAGTGATTAATAGTGATTAATTGTGATTAATAGTGATTAATTGTGATTAATTGTGATTAATTGTGATTAATAGTGATTAATTGTGATTAATAGTGATTAATAGTGATTAATTGTGATTAATAGTGATTAATTGTGATTAATTGTGATTAATAGTGATTAATTGTGATTAATAGTGATTAATAGTGATTAATTGTGATTAATTGTGATTAATAGTGATTAATAGTGATTAATAGTGATTAATAGTGATTAATAGTGATTATTTATCTATCTACCTATCTAACTACCTACCTATTTACCTATCTATCTATCTATCTATTTATCTATCTAACTAATCTACCGAATCTACCGAATCTACCTCATCTACCGAATCTACCGAATCTACCTAATCTACCTAATCTACCTAATCTACCTAATCTATCTAATCTACCTAATCTATCTAATCTATCTAATCTACCTAATCTACCTAGTCTCCTAATCTACCTATTTTACCTAATCTACCTAATCTATCTAATCTACCTAATCAATCTTATCTATCTGATCTACCTAATCTACCTAACCTACCTAATCAATCTAAATCTACCTATGTACCTATCTATCTATCTTTCTGTCTTTCTTTCTTTCTTCCTAGCTATCTATCTATCTATCTGTCTGTCTGTCTGTCTGTCTGTTTGTCTGTTTGTCTGTTTGTCTGTCCAACAGACTTTAAATTTACCCTAAACCAACCCTAATTAGCCCTAATTTAGTCCAATTAAACCCTAAACCAACCCTAAATAAACCTTAACTAAACCTTGAACCAAACCTAAATAGCCGTAAATCAACCCTAAACCAACCCTAATAAACCCTAAACCAATTCTAAACCAACCCTAAATAACCCTAAATAAACCCTAAACCAATTTACAATAAACCCTAAACCAACCCTAAATAAGCCCAAAACCATCCTTAAATAACTCTGGATAGACCCTAAACCAACACTAAATAAACCTCAAACCAACCCTAAAACAACCCTAAACCAACCCTAAACCCGCCAATGACCGTAAACCAACCCTAAATAAACCCTAAACCAACCAACACTATGATAGCATCCATTGCCACTATTTAGACCCAACACGGTTGTGCTTCAACCTATATTCTACATGTTCACCAGGTGCATGTTATGCATGGAAAAATCGATCGAAACCATGGAAACATCAATTGAACCCATGGCAAACTCAGTGAAAACTATGGGAAAATCGATGAAAACTTTGGGTAAATCAATGAACATGGAAAAATCGATGAACAGTGCAAATGGCAAATTTAGCTCCAAAATTCAGCAAAGTACAGGGTTTTGCTTCAAAATGTAGCGGATAGCAAGGCAAAGTGTCCCAAACTGGAAAAAAAAATCTGCACCCATTTGCCATCGTTTTTCTTGGTCAAATTGAAATCTGCTGGAAATCCCCATTTCACTAAACCTCCGAATTGATTCAAGGGAACATGTTCAGGAAATTTCCAAACGATTGGAATTTTTGTTTAGATCAATCTATACTCAATCATAATCACTTAAAGATACCCTTAATGCGAGTTTAATTGTGTTTAATTGTGATTAATTGTGATTAATAGTGATTAATAGTGATTAATTGTGATTAATAGTGATTAATAGTGATTAATAATGATTAATAATGATTAATAGTGATTAATAGTGATTAATTGTGATTAATAGTGATTAATTGTGATTAATAGTGATTAATAGTGATTAATAGTGATTAATAGTGATTAATAGTGATTAATAGTGATTAATAGTGATTAATTGTGATTAATTCATGATTTACTTGTGATTTAATGTGATATAGTGATTAATAGTGATTAATAGTGATTACTAGTGATTAATATGATTAATAGTGATGATATGTGATTAATGTGATTATAGTGATAAGAGGATAATAGTGATTAATAGTGATATAATAGTGATTAATAGGGATTAATGTGTAATTGTGATTTTAATAGTGATTAATTGCTGAGTAATTGTGCGATTAATTGTGATTAATCTGTGATATAAGGTGATTAATTGCCTGTTAATAGCTGGATATAATTGTTATTAAGTGTGATTAATTGTGATTAATTGTGATTAATTGTGATTAATAGTGATTAATAGTGATTAATAGTGATTAATTGCGATTAATAGTGATTAATAGTGATTAATAGTGATTAATTGTGTGATTAATTGTGTGATTAATAGTGATTAATAGTGATTAATAGTGATTAATAGTGATTAATAGTGATTAATAGTGATTAATTGTGATTAATAGTGATTAATAGTGATTAATAGTGATTAATAGTGATTAATAGTGATTAATAGTGATTAATAGTGATTAATAGTGATTAATAGTGATTAATAGTGATTAATAGTGATTAATAGTGATTAATTGTGATTAATAGTGATTAATTGTGATTAATTGTGATTAATAGTGATTAATAGTGATTAATAGTGATTAATAGTGATTAATAGTGATTAATAGTGATTAATAGTGATTAATAGTGATTAATAGTGATTAATAGTGATTAATAGTGATTAATAGTGATTAATAGTGATTAATAGTGATTAATTGATGATTCAATAGTGGATTAATTGTGATTAGTGTGATTAATTGTGATGATTAATTGTAGCTTAATTGTGATTAATTGTGATAATTGTGAATAATTGTGATTAATGTGATTAATAGTGATCTAATAGCTGATAATGTGATTAATAGTGATTAATTGTGATTAATAGTGATAATAGTGATTTAATAGCTGATTAATAGTGATTAATAGTGATTAATGTGATTTAATCGTGATTAATTGTGATTAATAGTGATTAATAGTGATTAATTGTGATTAATGGTTGATTAATGCCTGAGTATCGTGATTAATGCTGATTAATAGTGATTCATAGGATTAATAGTGATTCATAGTGATTAATAGTGATTAATTGTGATTAATAGTGATTAATGTGTTAATGATTAATATTGATTAATAGTGATTAATTGTGATTAATAGTGATTAATAGTGATTAATTGTGATTAATAGTGATTAATAGTGATTAATTGTGATTACTTGTGATTAATAGTGATTAATAGTGATTAATAGTGATTAATAGTGATTAATAGTGATTAATAGTGATTAATAGTGATTATTTATCTATCTACCTATCTAACTACCTACCTATTTACCTATCTATCTATCTATCTATTTATCTATCTAACTAATCTACCTAATCTACCTCATCTACCTCATCTACCTCATCTACCTAATCTACCTAATCTACCTAATCTACCTAATCTATCTAATCTACCTAATCTATCTAATCTATCTAATCTACCTAATCTACCTAGTCTCCTAATCTACCTAATCTACCTAATCTACCTAATCTATCTAATCTACCTAATCAATCTTATCTATCTGATCTACCTAATCTACCTAACCTACCTAATCAATCTAAATCTACCTATGTACCTATCTATCTATCTTTCTGTCTTTCTTTCTTTCTTCCTATCTATCTATCTGTCTGTCTGTCTGTTTGTCTGTTTGTCTGTTTGTCTGTCCAACAGACTTTAAATTTACCCTAAACCAACCCTAATTAGCCCTAATTTAGTCCAATTAAACCCTAAACCAACCCTAAATAAACCTTAACTAAACCTTGAACCAAACCTAAATAGCCGTAAATCAACCCTAAACCAACCCTAATAAACCCTAAACCAATTCTAAACCAACCCTAAATAACCCTAAATAAACCCTAAACCAATTTACAATAAACCCTAAACCAACCCTAAACAAACCCAAAACCATCCTTAAATAACTCTGGATAGACCCTAAACCAACACTAAATAAACCTCAAACCAACCCTAAAACAACCCTAAACCAACCCTAAACCCGCCAATGACCGTAAACCAACCCTAAATAAACCCTAAACCAACCAACACTATGATAGCATCCATTGCCACTATTTAGACCCAACACGGTTGTGCTTCAACCTATATTCTACATGTTCACCAGGTGCATGTTATGCATGGAAAAATCGATCGAAACCATGGAAACATCAATCGAAACCATGGCAAACTCAATGAAAATTATGGAACGATCGATGAAAACTTGGGGTAAATCAATGAACACCATGGTAAAACAAGCTAAAACCATGGAAGAATCGATGAACAGTGCAAATGGCGCATTTTAGCTCCAAAATTCAGCAAAGTACAGGTTTTTGCTCCAAAATGTAGCAAATAGCAAGGAAAAGTGCCCCAGACTGAAAAACAGAACAAATCCCAAGAAACACCAAAAAATATGCACCCTTATGATTAATCCATGGCCATCCAAGTCACCCCACGCCCCAACTAGGCACCGCAGCCCGCGTCAGGCACCGCAACCGGTGCCCGTGGCACCGCTGCCGCCGCGCCCTGTGCGGCCCGACGTGCGCCCGGCGGCGCCGCCGGTGCCGGCCAAGGCGATGGCGGTGACGGAAGCGGCGGAGGTGGAAGCGGAGGACCCGGGCCCAGGGCAGAAGTTTCAAAAATAGGACATGGCGACATGGCTATAGGAAATCAATGGCCTATAGGAAAGTTTCTGCGATGCAGAGGCAAATAAGTGTTGAAGTTGTGAGGTGCATCAAAGAATGAGCCATGGCTGTTGAGATGCCAATGACATGACACGAAAAAATACGTGCACAACTGAGTGAATGAACCAAAATGAACCAATGAATTGATGAACCAATGAAACAATCAGTCAGTGAGTCAATGAAACAATGAACCAATGAAGCAACGAAGCAATGATTCAATGAATGAAGCCACCAGTGAACCAATGAATCGATGAATCAATAATAAACCATAATAAACCAATGAATCGATGAAACAACGAACCAGTGAATCAATGAATCAGTGAACTGGTTCAGTGAATCAATGAATCAATGATTCGATGATTCAGTGAAATAATGAATCAATGAATGAATGAAGTCGCGAGGGGATGAACCAATGAATCAGCATGATTCAGTGAATCAATGGAGCAGAACCGATGAAGCAATGAAACAATTCAGTGAATCAATGACTCAGTGAATCTGTGATTCAGTGAATCAATGAGCTCATGCACGAGTGAATTTATGAGCCAATGAATCAATGAATCAATGATTGAGTGAGCGCGTGAGTCGATGAACCAATAAATCAGCAAATCAATGAATCACTGATCCGGTGAATCAATGAACCCATGAAATAATGAACCAATGAATCAGCGATTCCATGAATCCATGAACCAATGAATCAATGAACCAATGACCGACGAAGGGATGGGTGGATGGATGAACGAATGGATGGATGGGCGTACTACTTGTCTTTGTTGAGCTACTTCTTCACTGAGCGATCTTGTCACTGAGGCACCTCGTCTCTGAGCAGCCACTTATCAATGCGTCTAGCAGCCTCCAGCTGCAATCCCACATAGCACAAGAGTAGCACTATGCACAAGAGCTACCTTTCGCGTGGCTGTTGCAATGCGTCTAGCAACCTCCGGCTGCAATCCCGCTTGCCAGCAGCGACGCAACATCACTGATGCTTTCCTGCACGCAGCCGTGCCAATGCGTTTTGTCACACCCGGCTACAAACCCATAGCAAGAGCGCCGCACCAAATCGATCAACGTTCGTGCAACGCTGACAATGGGACTTCGACCATTTTCAAGTGCAAATCGAGCTCTGGCTACAGTGTGTTGCACTTTTTGCTGACCTCATCTTTCAAAAGTGCTCTGAACCCGTCAGTTTGTTAACATTCTGAAGTCCACAGCGAGCTCTCGCCACTGTGCACTTCTTGTCGGTAACTTTTGCAGATCGAGCCCCGGACCCGCAGAAACTGAGACCCTACTTCGGCGACCACTTATCAGCCACTTTACCCGAAAAAACATAGGGTTTTCGCGCCCGAGAGCGTTTTTGACCCGTGAATCCACGCGCGGCTGAACTGCATGGTACGCTTCCCAACATGTCCCAACTACTTGATGACTCTTGATGATGGATGGTTGACATGATGATGTGGTTGACATGATGATGGAAACGCTGACAATGACAATCGTCCGTAACTCGGAAACTTCCTTCGATAATTGTTATGGCAATTATAATCCATAGTCCATGGGCTAATAATCAACCAACCAGCATGGGGGGCACCACAAACCAGCTTTTCCAGCTGCAGGAGCTGCCAGCCCCGGCCCCCGCAACCCCTGCGGACAAAGCCACGGCGCCCAAAGCTGTGCCGCCTGGGGCCGTGCCTGCGGCACCGCCGGCGGCCCCACCGGTGTCTGCGGAACCGAAGAAGAATCGATGGTAGGGGCCCCAGGGAGGTCGATATACTGCGGATTGGTAAAAATCATGCGAAACTATTGGTGGCTATTGGAAGGGGGCCATCAATCTTTCACCAGCCTGTAACTATTGGTAGCTATGAAATAATGTGATTTCGCGAACATCCATAGAATGTCAATATCTGGAATGATGGAAAACAATTGTGGCCTGGGTTCAGCTAAGGCATCCCCCAAAGTCAAGATTTGACATATTTTGGCCCAGGAGGTATGCAAGCGAAAAAACAATTTGGCCCATTTTTTCAGGGAAGCAAAGACCAGCCCTAGATCAGTAGGGTCTAGATCAGTAGGTTTTTCCCCACCTGCCAGGTGAGGGTTGTTAGATTTTATCAGAGTTGTTCTCCTCGTTCTCCTCCTTCTTCTCCTTCTCCTCCTCCTTCTTCTCCACCACGTTTGCCTTCACTTCCATGTCCACTTCCGCCTTGCCAACTCTTCGCCAAGCTCTTCGCCAACTTCCGCACGCAGTGGCCACTGCTGGACCTCAACTGCAAGGGTCTGAGCGCACTGGGCACCGCTGGACCTCAATCTGGGACCTTCCGAGCTCAGTGAGCACCGCTGGACCTCAACCTAGGACCTTCCGAGCTGGACCTCAACCTGGGACCCTCCGAGCTCAGTGAGCACCGCTGGACCTCAACCTGGGACCCTCCGAGCTCAGTGAACACCGCTGACCTCAACCTGGGACCCTCCGAGCTCAGTGAGGACCGCTGGACCTCAACGGCCAGATAGAATGCCAGAAGATATGCCAGATAGAACGCCAGATAGAATGTCAGAAAGAATGCCAGAAGATATGCCAGGTAAAATGCCAGAAGATATGCCAGAACATATTGCAGAAGATATGCCAGATAGAATGCCGGAAGGTATGCCAGATAGAATGTCAGATAGAATGCCACAAGGTATGCCAGATAAGGTGCCAGAATGTTTGCTAGATAGAATGCCAGAAGATTTGCCAGATAGAATGCCAGATAGAATGTCAGAAGATATGCCAGAAAGAGTGCCAGAACATATGCCAGAACATATGCCAGAAGATATGCCAGGTAGAATGCCAGAAGATATGCCAGGTAGAATGCCAGAAGATATGCCAGATAGAATGCCAGAAGATATGCCAGATAAAATGCCAGATAGAATGCCAGAAGGTGTGCCAGATAGAATGTCAGATAGAATGCCAGATAAAGTGCCAGAATGTTTGCCAGATAGAACGCCAGAAGATTTGCCAGATAGAATGCCAGATAGAATGTCAGAAGATATGCCAGACGATATGCCAGATAGAGTGCCAGAAGATATGGCAGAACATATTGCAGAAGATATGCCAGGTAGAATGCCAGAAGGTATACCAGAACATATTGCAGAAGATATGCCAGATAGAATGCCAGATAGAATGCCAGAAGATTTGCCAGTAACAAAACGTATAGATTATAGATGTCATGGTGGGGAGAACTCGAAGTAAAGTATTTTTTCCCCACCTGCCAGGTGAGGGTTGCTACAGGGGGACCGTCTTTGAGAGACTCATGCGAGTCTGGGACGGTGGCCATTTCATTATTTGGAAAGTCTAGGCAACATTATAATGCCCAGATACATCCAGTCTAAGCACTAATCACCAAACATTTGACTTGTTCGACATTATTTGTTGATTTGGCTTGACTTTGACTGGTCATTGTCCAGCCTGTATGTTGGGATTCCGATTGGAAAGGGTTCTTCACCAGCTCAATTCGTGCCCCGCTGTGAAGATGGAATTCCCTGACGAATTGCGCGGATGCGCTTCTCAAGAGACGTGGTGCACTTGTCTCTCTTTGGTCTGCTGCAAATTTTCCTTCAATGCGAGTGGTGATGGAGATGGTTTTGGTCAGGCTTGGTGGGGCTGGCATGGCAATGGGTTTCAGTCCAGGTTTTATCGCGCATTGTGCATTGGATTCAATTGGAGGGAGACCATGAAGATCAGTAATTCCATTTTTTGCGAGGTTTGAATTTGCATATATATGCAATATATTCAGATCGATTATCGACATCCACACATTTATGAATTATTTTCAGTGGCGGCGCCCCTCGAGGGGCGGGACTGTTGTCACATTGCTACGTTGCAACATCTTCTACATGACCCAGCATGGGCCCAACTTAGACCCGTATAGATAAAGTCTGTGTTGAACGCCATAGATTCACGATGCGAACGAGTTCTCATGTGGGTTGTGGTTTCAACCCGTCTCGAAAATGCGACTTTCGATCTTAACTTGGCTTGGTACGACAGACACCGTAAACTTCAGCACAAGAAATTCAAGAATGTGGAAGCCCCAATAATAAAGAAACCATTTGGGGATGGTTTATACCACCCATTTATGGTGATTTTGGGGATGGTCTACCACATGGTTCAGTTTTTGGCAGGGTATCTCAAGGTCAGCTCTGTTGTCCAAGGAAGCGCGCTCGAACAGCAGAAGCGAAGGTGAGGGTGCCATAATTCTACTGGGAGTGATTGGGGTTCTGTAGTTGGAGCCTCATTTGGGAGTTTCCATAAATGGAGGGTACCCCAAAATGGAGGGTTAAAAGTGGGAAGTCCATTTAAAATGGATGATTTGGGGGGGCTCCTATTTCAGGAACCTCCATTTTGAACGGATTTATGGTTTGGTAATCGAACATGAGGCTTTGTTTTCACACGTGTGGGTTGCCTCCTGCTATTTTGATGTTTCAAACCCCATCTGGTAGAGGGAAAACAATCAGTTGCTTCGGGCGATCACCGGCCCACATGCACGTTAGTTGGCTGATGATAGCACCCTTTGTTGGTTGGTTACATCCTTTTATGTATCCCATTTTGGCTGCTTACAACCCCAACTATCCCCCAAATTTGATGATTTGCCATGGGGAGCTATTTTCTTTTTTTTTGTTTTCCAGCGTGGCTTTGTGGCTTTTGTGGGTGTGTGGCTTTTGTGGCTTTACCATGCTTTACCTATTTATTGTTCTTTCTATCTATCTAATCTAATCGAATCTATCCTAATCTTTTCTAATCTTATCCAATCTTATCTTATCTATCTAATCTATCTAATCCATCTATTCCATCTAAACCATCTAATCTATCTAACCTAATCTTTCTAATCTATCTTAACTATTTATCAGATCTATTTAATTTATCTACCTAACGTATTTAATCTATTTAATCTATTTAATCTAATCTATTTGTCGGCCTATCTCTCTACATATACATCTATCATTCTATCTATCTATCTATCTACCTATCTATCTTTCTATCTTTCTATCTATCTATCTATCTAATCTCTTCTAATCTAATCTCTTCTAATCTAATTTAAGCTAATCTAATCTATTCTCATCTAATCTAATCTAATCTAATCTAATCTAATCTAATCTAATCTAATCTAATCTAATCTATCTATCTATCTATCTACCTAATCTATCTAATCTATCTATCTATCTGTCTACCTAATCTACCTAATCTACCTTATCTACCTAATCTACCTAATCTACCTAATCTACAGAATCTGCCGAATCTATCTAATCTACCTAATCTACCTAATCTACCTAATCTACCTAATCTACCAAATCCACCTAATGTATCTAATCTATCTAATCTACTCTATCTATCTAATCTATCTATTCTACCTAATCTATCTAATCTATCTAACCGGTCTAAATCTACCTATGTACCTATCTACCTATCTAACTACCTACCTATTTACCTATCTATCTATCTATTTATCTATCTAACTAATCTACCTAATCTACCTCATCTACCTCATCTACCTCATCTACCTCATCTACCTAATCTACCTAATCTACCTAATCTATCTAATCTACCTAATCTATCTAATCTATCTAATCTACCTAATCTACCTAGTCTACCTAGTCTCCTAATCTACCTAATCTACCTAATCTATCTAATCTACCTAATCAATCTTATCTATCTGATCTACCTAATCTACCTAACCTACCTAATCAATCTAAATCTACCTATGCACCTATCTATCTATCTTTCTGTCTTTCTTTCTTTCTTCCTAGCTATCTATCTATCTATCTATCTGTCTGTCTGTCTGTTTGTCTGTTTGTCTGTTTGTCTGTCCAACAGACTTTAAATTTACCCTAAACCAACCCTAATTAGCCCTAATTTAGTCCAATTAAACCCTAAACCAACCCTAAATAAACCTTAACTAAACCTTGAACCAATCCTAAATAGCCGTAAATCAACCCTAAACCAACCCTAATAAACCCTAAACCAATTCTAAACCAACCCTAAATAACCCTAAATAAACCCTAAACCAATTTACAATAAACCCTAAACCAACCCTAAATAAACCCAAAACCATCCTTAAATAACTCTGGATAAACCCTAAACCAACACTAAATAAACCTCAAACCAACCCTAAAACAACCCTAAACCAACCCTAAACCCGCCAATGACCGTAAACCAACCCTAAATAAACCCTAAACCAACCAACACTATGATAGCATCCATTGCCACTATTTAGACCCAACACGGCTGTGTTTCTACCAACATTTTTCATGTTCACCAGGTGCATGTTATGCATGGAAAAATCGATTGAAACCATGGAAACATCAATTGAACCCATGGCAAACTCAATGAAAACTATGGGAAAATCGATGAAAACTTTGGGTAAATCAATGATCATGGAAAAATCGATGAACAGTGCAAATGGCAAATTTAGCTCCAAAATTCAGCAAAGTACAGGGTTTTGCTTCAAAATGTAGCGGATAGCAAGGCAAAGTGTCCCAAACTGGAAATAAACTGCACCCATTTGCCATCGTTTTCCTTGGTCAAATTGAAATCTGCTGGAAATCCCCATTTCACTAAACCTCCGAATTGATTCAAGGGAACATGTTCAGGAAATTTCCAAACGATTCGAATTTTTGTTTAGATCAATCTAATGTTGGCTGCCTAATAATAAATACCCCCCCCATTTTTTTTAAGGGGGGGGGTCAACTTTCCAATAATAATCTATTTGTGGGAATCTATAGCTGGGATCTATAATCTGATAGATTCTCCATGGTTTTGTTGGGTTTCTGTTAGATTCTGCATAGGGTTTGGTTAGATTTCTGAGATGTTCTGCATAGGTGGTGGAGGAGGCGACGGAGGAGGACGAGGAGGAGGAGGAGAAGAAGGAGAAGAAGGAGAAGGAGAAGGAGGGCAACAAAATTGGAGTTGCGGAAAAAAGTTTCCACTATTGCCATGCCTGGTGCAGGTTTATTATTGCTATTCTGGAGCTTGTAAAGGGGATACCCTTTGTGGACCTGTTTTCTTGTTTTTTTTAATAAGGGTTTTATAAGAAAATCAGCTGTTTGGTAATTGGATCAGATTTCTGGAATCTAAGCTTTTGCTAATCAAAAGTGAAGGCTGCTTTGAAAAGGATTTGCTTTACTTGACTCTTTTGGCAATACTAAAAGTAAATAGAGCTAATTGACTTTTAGTATTGGAGAAAAAATTGGAGTTGGAAAAAAAGTTTCTACTATTGCCATGTTGGGTCCACTATTGGCCATGCCCTCTGGACAAGGTCTGAACATGACTCTTTTGGCAATACTAAAAGTAAATAGAGCTAATTGACTTTTAGTATTGGAGATAAAACTGGAGTTGCGGAAAAATGTTTCTACTATTGACAAGATATCACTATTGGTCAGACAACATTATACTCAATCATAATCACTTAAAGATACCCTTAATAAATGTCCCCCAAAGTTCCTGACAATTTCCCCTTAGGTCAATCCATACCATCACCATGTAGTGTGTTGACACAGCGCATGCCGAGGCCGCCCCTGAAGTTCCAGCAGTGCCAGCTGCAAAACCTCCCAGCAGAGCGACTGGGATGAGAGGGAGGATTGAAGCATAATGCGAGTTTAATAGTGATTAATTGTGATTAATAGTGATTAATAGTGATTAATATATCAAACAACTCTGGTAAACGTTTACATAACTATTGAAAATCACCATGCTATTAATGGGAAAATCAACTATTTCGATGGGCCATTTTCAATAGCTAAGAGGGTAAACCTCAGACATGGACTTGCCTGACTTGCCTACCAACAGACATGAAATTCCAATGAGATGAAATAGCATGAAACAACTAGGGATTTAAGCGCTAAATCCTGGGTTTTCATGGCACTGTAAACCAGTGGATTTTAGGGCCTAGACAAACAGCCTTTTTTTCAGAGAAACACGTTTCTTTCAGAAATTCTATGGTCATGTTCATAGGATAAATTTGGTCTCAAACCTTAGATGGATCCAAATGGCCCTTGAAATTTCATCAACTGTTGAATGGGTGGTGCATGGTGAATGGATCACTTGATTTGCCGATTTCATCTTCGGAATATTCGACTCGAGGATGGGTCAAAACCTACGTACAATGTGGGGCCCCCCTACAATCAACCATTGGAACATGATGATTTAACCAACAAACAAGGGCATCTAATATGATTTAATGGGATTTATAGCTGATTGATGACAGTTTTTTTTTTATAACTCCAATTCAGTCTGGTTTATGATACTCATTGATACGCTTAAATAACGAACTAGTATTCACGGGGTGAATCTAAACCAACAAACATCACTGGGGGGCCCCACATTGTAGTACCGTATGTTTGAGTTCACCATGGCACCGGGATTGTGACCCATCGCCACAAGCAGCTGGGTGTGAAGATGGCGGACTTTCCTCCGAAAAAATAAAGCCGGTTTCAAGAGGCAAAAAATGAGTGTTTTCAACCATCAAAAACTTGGTAAAACCCATGGTTACCATGGTTTTCCTAAAACAAAAATCCAATGTACCCGTATTTTATCTTTGTTGATGCATGGGTTGGTTCCAAAGCAGTTCTCTTCCGAAGTGGGTGAGCATCCTAGCGATTCCACGACATCGGCAAGTTTCAGGGGGGTGAGACAACAGCCAGTTTTGCAAACAACTTTATATATCTATAGAATTCTATAGATAACATTCTATGTGTCCCTCACTGTGGATGGAAGAAATTCTGCACCAGTTGATAGGTGGTTTATCCCATGATTAATAGGGTTTCAACTATCCAAGGGGGTGCAGGATTTCGCAACCACCCACCGTTTGTCCCCAGGAAATGTCGTTGGAGAATTTGGAGGACATGGAGGACGGACCTGTTATGACCTGTTTGAACACAGGTCCCACAGCCTCGTGACATTGTCGTTCCCCAAACAAGGCTAGCTGGGAAATGTCTGAACTAAATGGACATGTAAATAGAAAATCATATACAACTGAGGAATTGCCCGTTACCATGTTTCATTACCAGAGGGTAAAAAATATAATCTTTTACCCTCTGGTAATTTAACATAATTATGGAAACTCACCATTTTAAATGGGTAAATCAACTATTTCTATGGCCATTTTAAATAGTTATGTTAGACATGTTAGTTTACCAGAGGGTATGTTTTATAGAACACCGTTAATGAAATATGGTAACGGATATTTATGGAATAACAAGCTCATGGCGTCATTGGAAAAATGCCAAGAATCCCTTCAGCCGCTGGTGAAGGCTGGTAATGGACGGCCCGGCGGCCCGTTATTTCAGGCGGGTAAATTACTATAATTTGTTCATATATATATAATATATATATATATGTACATCCACCCACCTCTGTCTCATCACTCACTCCACCACTCAACTAGCATGTGTTTTAGATTTCTATTGTTGTTAAATAATGGTTGAAATTGGGCTTAATTATCATCTTATCTTAACTAGAAATTGAGTGTCAGAGGCTTGACTATCGTAGGATGATGTAGGATGGTTGATTGAAGACTGCCTCTTCTAACTGAGTAACAAAGATTGGATACAGGTTGGATTAATTTGGAAAGGGTTTTTGTTTTAAGGTGTGTTTACTTTTTAGGATGTGAATATGTATGTATATATATATATACATACATGTTGAATCAATCATATAGCCATATCATATAGCATTATATACTGTAGCAATATAGGAAGACTTTGCAATATTTCTAGTGGGATTCCGCTGATGTATGTGTGTGTGTTCGCGTTTCCTGTACATATATCCGCGTATTTATATAATATATGCCATTATACGCCCGCATGGCCGCATGTAAAGAAAAATATGGACATGGCTCAACAGTATTGTAGCAGTGAGCCTGCACATTTGCTCACCTGCTGCCTGCTACTAACAAAACATATAATTATTTTCGAGATCGAATAGTTTCGACCAAGACATTGGTCATCAATGAGATCAGTTAGTCATAGCTTCCTATTGATATTTTTCAATCCATCAAGACACCCACAAGAAAAGGAATGCGAGCTGTTCTTCTATAATTGCAAATGGCTCATGTTTCTTTGCATACTGTGTTAGAAATGATTTAACTGTGTAGGCTCCGGAGCATCAGTGAAACATTGGCCAGTTTTCAGTCAAGCTCTGCTGGCCACAGAGAGGTGGTCCCAAGGGAGTTTGATGTGCATTTAGGTGGAAGCCTGCGAGAGAGCAGAAGAGAAAAGAAGGAGAAGAAGAATAAGAAGAATAAGAAGAATAAGAAGAATAAGAAGGGAAGACGAAGACAAAGCTGTAAAACGGAAGCGGCTTGTGTAGCAAGGTTTGCTGTAACAACCTATTGACCATATACCAAATTAGTACCGCCCCCAGCAAAGTAGCGCCAGGTACTATGTATGAGCCTCTGGCTTGACAGCAGACCGCTGCATGGAAGGAGACAGGGTGGAAGCGGAGAGAGAGATTGCTCCAAGGGAGGTTGACGCGCACGCTAGGTGGAAGCTTGAAAGAAGAAGAGACGAACACAGTAGTAGTAGTAGTAGCAGCAGCAGCAGCAGGAGTAGTAGTAGTAGTAGTAGTAGTAGGAGTAGTAGTAGTAGTGGTAGCAGTAGTAGTAGTGGTAGTAGGCGTATTAATAGTAGTAGTCGTCGTTAGTACTAGTAGTACTACTAGTACTAGGACTAGTACCAGCACTAGTACTAGGACTAGGGGGGGTGACCTTGATTCAGACGAAGCAAAAACGTGCGAGCAAGAGAATAAAGGAACAAGTACAAGCCAAGAACAGAAACAAGAACAACCACCTTCCAATCAGACACGCTGGCAGGCCGGCGGATCAAAATAGATGATTTGGGGATACCCCTATTTCAGGAAACCTCCATATCTTCAGCTGGATGGCTGCATTTCGCCAATATTATGATACAAAAAAAGATTGTGGCTGCATGAACAACAGTGACACCAAGGTCACAAAAATGACCAATTTTTAATGGGTTGTGTTTTCGCAGCGTAGAAACTGGAAACTAGGGGCGGTATGCCCTCCCCATCTCTCCCCACCCTCCCGGCGCCAAAGCCTGGGAAATGCATCTGTTCTCCCTTGCTCTGACATGTCGAGTCCAAAAACTGGATAGATAGACAGGTAGATTGATAGATCTAAAGATTGAATAGATAGATGTTTAATGTGGATAGATAGATAAATAGATAGGTAGATAGACAGATAAAGAAAAACAATATAGATAGGTAGATAGATCGATCGATAGATAGATAGACAGACAGGCAGATATATAGATAGATAGCTGATGATATGTAGATAAATAGTTAGGTAGATAGATAGTCAGCCCTATGAATCCAAACACTGTCTGAGTATGTACTTAACCTCCTACATGATACCCCAAATACTTACTAAGAAGGTAATTGGATCCATAGGGCAGGTAAACAGATACTGGTTGGTGGTTTGGAACATGGCTTTTATTTTTCCATATATTGGGAATTTTGTAATCCCAACTGACTTTCATATTTTTCAGCGGGGTGGCTCAACCACCAACCAGGATAGATGTCTGTGTTCTCTTGGTGTTTTTCACCAACGTCCACGGCCTTTTGACACAGGACGATGGCCGAGATTTGGACGCGGCGTTGCGCTTAGATCAGGGTTTGGGAGTGGGTCATTGGACGCGTGAAAAGTTCGAAGCATGGGAATGTGTTTGAAACTGACGGTTTAAAGTTACCAGTTTGGCGTAATTACAAAACACTTTCAAGGCTGAACTGATTTTGAATGTGTTTGAATGCCTTATTTAGCCATCTTTGTGTGTTCAACATAGAAAATTGTAGATTCTGGTTGCCATGTGACCCTTGTGACAATGGCATGCAACGGCTCACAGCTAAATCATGTTTTCTGCATGTTTTTGGTTTTGAAGACGAAATGCGGTTTAAGGTTGTTTAAGTATGTTTCAAATGTGTCAATCTCTGTTTGACCGATGATTGTCCAATTGGATTTGGATTGCATTGAAATTTGCAAAAAACGGTTCCCATATCTTGGAGCAGGTTTTGACCCATCCACAGATGATAGTACCCCCCAAAAAGACAATGCCGACACAAGGAATTTTTGCGCAATTTGCCGACATGTCCCACAAACTCTGCACCATCTGCATTAGTTGGAGGTTTGCAAAAAAACGAAACGAAAAAACATCACCACCATTTCTATGTTTGCATGTTTTTGTTAGGGTTACTTTAAAACAAAAGACCAACAATCCCCCTATCCCATCCCCATCCACATCCATGCCCTGAACTCCTCTATTTTATCGAGTAAGGACACAATTTTGATGGTAAAATCACACGAAAATTCCATGTTTGTTGGTTGAAATTCCATTATAAATTATAATTGTTACAATATGTACCCAATTGAGTCACCATGTTGGTTGTTTAAACTTCATGTTCACAATTCCCTTGTTCGCTTAACACGACATAGATTGCCAAAAAAACATGGACCCATGAAGTCTCAGACATCTCTCATATTGGTTTGGTGAGTAAATCCATAGTAGTCCCTTTACAGTTACCCTCTAGTAAATGTTTACATAACTATGGAAAATTAACATTTTTCATGGATAAATCCACTATTTCTATGGCCATGCTCAATAGCTATGTTTGTTTACCAGAGGGTATGTCAACCAGCAGGTAAGTTTGATGTTTTATCATCCTTGTCCATATTCTACTCGAATTTTGGTTAGATGATCCAGAGGGTAAATTCACCTCCACAAAACAGGGTAGCCTCCCCGCATTCTGAATTCGACCCAGAAATCTCAGACATCTATAATTTATTTGTTATTTACTTGCTGACTAAAAATCCATAAGAAATCCCCCCAAAATATAAAAATCAAGTAAATAATATACAAAAATAGATATGATAAATCCAACAGAATCCCCATAGTACCCCCATGGTAAATCCTCATGAAAAGTCGTCTCCTTCCAAGGAGTTGGAGGCCATGACGCTGGAGGCTGCCGAGTTGGAGAAACAGCTGGAAGCCGCGGAGGCTTCAGAGATGGCCTTCCTACAGGAGCGGAAGCTGGGCCATAGGTATACTGGTTGGTGGTTTGGAACATTGCTTTTATTTTCCCATATATTGGGAATTCTATAATCCCAACTGACTTTCATATTTTTCAGAGGGGTAGGTATACCACCAACCAGTATAAGTTGGCTTAAAAACTACAGCCCGAGAGTTGGTTAAGAATCCGAAAGCTTGAGGCCCAGGGTCCCTCAAATTCTTATTTTTTAAGTTTAAATGCATGCAAATTTCCACCACAATAGGTCGAGGGTCCCTGAAATTCTTAGAGCATTCTTAGTTATGTTTTGTATGCATCTGCGCACTTTGGAGCGAGCTGAAGCCGGCAACGAGGTGGAGTTGGCAGATTTGACAAGAGACATACGAAGAAAACAATTTTTTAGAGCCTGAAAAATTGTTTTTTGGCAAAGCCGGGCTTCTCTGAGTTTCATAAGAGCAGCGCAGAAGAAAACAATTTTTTAAGGCCTGAAAAGTTGTTTTTTTGCAAAGCCAGGCTTGTCTGAGTTTCATAAGAGCAGTGCGAAAAAACATAGAGCCTGAAAAATGTGTTTTTTGCAAAGCCGGGCTTCTCTGAGTTTCATAAGAGCAGCGCGGAAAAATAACAGTTTTTGAGAGCCTGAAAAGATGTTTTTGCAAAGCCGGGCTTGTCTGAGTTTCACAAGACAAGTGTGAAAAAAACAATTGTTTAGAGTTTAGAGCCTGCAAAAAAAAAGGCCGCTGCAACCCAGGCCAAACCCCAGCCCTTTGCAGCCAGGGCAAAGAGAGAGAATGAGAAGGCAAAATGCTTTGAAGGCCAGGCTCCTGTAGCATAATGATCAGAGTGTTGAGCTTCGCGCTTGACGCGCTTGACGGTCGCGGCGGCGTATTCTTTGGGCATCTAAAAGGGTCTGCCAATATGTCGTTTTCACAATCACACCACGCGCGCAACTTTACCAATGCTCCTTTCAATGTTTCGTGGCATGTGCGAAAAAACTTTTTTTGGAGCTTGAAAAATTGTTTTCTGCAAAAGCCTAAGTTTTCTTCAAGTTCCTGGGGAAAGCAATGTTTCAGGTTCCCAAGTCTATCCACATATAGATTTTGCGTGGGTTGGAAGCAGTCCAAGCATGTGCGAATAAAAACAACTTTTCGGAGCTTGAAACATTGTGCTTCTGCAAAGCCTAAGTTTTCTTCAAGCTATTGGGGAATGCAATGTTTCAGGTCCCCAAGTCTATCCACATATAGATTTTGCGTGGGTTGGAAGCAGTCCAAGCATGTGCGAAAAAAACAATTTTTCGGAGCTTGAAAAATTGTTTTTCTGCAAAGCCCGATTTCATCCCATAAGGGGTCACTCCACAAAAAAATGCCGCAAAGGGATGCAAAGGGAAATTGCAAACATCACGTATAAGCAGTGGGTAATTTAAGAATTTGGCAACCCTATTCCAGGGTCCTTCAAACTCTTAAGGTACTATGTGTTTGGTATAGCTGAAAATATGTAGACCGCCTTAAATTCGAGCCCCTCAAAATCTTATACAGTGAATTCACATAAGATACTCAAGCTGCATTGTAAGGCAACTGAACGCTATCTTGGGGGCCCCATCTTGTGGGTCAACCTTGGTTAGATACTTTAGTACTTTAATACTTTGCTATCAGTGATAAAATGATGTAAAATGTACTAACCAACTAAAAATTAGTTTTTTTTGACAGGTATCTAAGATTCACCATGGTTATATTAATGGAATTTCCCATATGTATGTATAATATATATATATATATATACAGACATACATACATGCATTTAGTATATATGTTTAATATATTATATAGTTTTAATATATCATATATTTTTAATATATTATATCTATAAATATATATATATATATTATGGGATGAAATATGGGTTATAGATTATAAAGGCAAAAGCAAAGGCCAAGGCTAAGGCCCAGGCACGTCGTGCGGAGTCGAGAAAGAGTTCGCTACTGCAATTTTTTCAGTTTTGTTCCATGGACGGGGCAAGCAACGAAATATAGCTTTGTTGGGTTCCTCTGGAGTCGGAACCATCACGGCGCAGCTTGAAGAGACCGGCTGCCGCATCTGCACCATCTGCACCATCTCCTGCAGCACCGAAGAGACGTGCAGCATCGCCAAAGAGACGTGCAGCTGCAGCTCAACCAGGCCGTCTGGTGCCGTTACAGCTCCATCGGCTGTGCAGAGTGCCGAAGGAAAGCCGGCTTAACGAATCGGATCCGATTTTCGTGGGGCTCATGGAAGGATGGAAATCTATGGAACAACAACTTCGTGAAGCGACAGTTGTAAAGCAAATTAGTTAAAGGTGGGTGCCACCTTTTTGAGATCTTTCGGGATTTCAAAGGTGTGTTTTTTTCCTCTGACGTGGAAGTAATCAAAAGAGTTGAGGGGTCTCACAGATTTGGATAGTTTTTGACAATGTATGATCATTTAACATTTTGAAGTAGGAACGATTTGTATTTGCCAATTCTCAATTCTGAAGTCTGAAAATTCTATAACTGGCCACTGTAGAGCCAAAGGAGGGGTAATGATTTCTCGAAAAATGATGAGAATGACTACGAAACCGGGAAACGAGTTTTATTTCTGAGCATAAAGCCTTGCATGGGCACTTGAATAATGTTTAATGCTTTGATTGTTTGATATCAATGGAGTAGATGCTAATTAGAAAGCATGCAAGTATCTGAGATTGCCCTGCCCTGATGAGTTTTTTTGGGGAATTGATTGAAAGTTGGTAATTTGAAGAACGGAGTGAATCCGAATCAAGGACGAACAACTCCAAAAACTGGCCCTTACCAGGGCCAAGCAACTGGGGGTGGTGAATATGCCGCCCTTTTCGGAGTTGAGGAATCCAGGTGACCCTCAAGATTGATGGTTAGGCTCTGCAAGGCCTCTTAGTATGGTTGGATATCCTATATCATCCTATATCTAATATCCCAGTATCTATATCCCAGTAATTCCCAGTATATCTATATCATTCTATATCTAATATCGATATCCCCAGGACATTCCTATGGTTACATCTTCCATCAGTGAGCACGCGAGCACCATCCCATTGGGTCCGAGGCAAATGCAGGTGACCTTCCGGCCGAGGAGAAGTCGATTTGATTTTTTGTTGGGGTTGATTCCGTGGGATATGAAAATATAATGGGATAATAAGGAACATCATGGGAACATCATGGGATATAACATAGTATAATATTGGGAACATGTTTTTTTGAAAATGGGAACATCATGAGGATCTCAATTTGTTCATATTATTTCTGGTTCATGGGATATAACGATATGATGGAATAATAAGGATTCATTCAGGGTTTATGAATTACAAAGAACGGTTGTTACCCCAAAGACCAGGGGTTTTATATGGGGACGGGTCAATTTACCTATGAAACCAGCACATTTGGGGGAATAAATGGGAATAAACATCCACCAACCAGCTATTTAAGTAAGCTACCTGGGGTACCAAGGTTTTGACCCGTAGTCATACTACTGGTAGTGGGATATGCACTATAGTTATATCATGTTCTGTCCCCTAATCAACCCAAACGTTCACCAAGTGATGTGTGTCAACTTAGAAATTTTTGTCGGGGTTTCTTATGGGGGATCCAAGTCATTCTGGGTTTCAATGATGTCGCGGGAGTAGCCCCATTTCAGGAAACCTCCATACGAGTGGGATATGAACGGGGACATGGGATATCAATGATTTCTGGCTCATGGATATAATAGGATAATCAAGGTTCATTCAGGGTTTTTTAATCACTAAGAACCGCCACTAATTGTTGGGTTTAATCGTCTATTGTTGACAAGCCACTGATGATGTACAAGAACGAGAAGCTGAGACTCAGGGACATGTACTATCAGGGCTCACTACCATAGCGGAAATCTCTGCGGGGTAGAACCCATTGAACCTACCGTGGAGGGTGACCCACAAGGGTCTCATGCAAGGGTACATATTCCGATCTCGGAAGGTTTGGAGGAGCTCATTCGAGATCCCAGCGCTACTGTGAGAATCCCAATCAATGATGATGACTTGGATGCGGAACCCATATCACCGATTCAGACACCCACACAAAAATTGTGAAGCATGAGGACTCAGCTAGAAAAAAATGGATTGGAAGCAACACCTCTGGGCAAAGTATATGGACCCCACTGGCTGAGCCTTGGAAGGGGGAACCATTTCCATGTCTTTTTTGGGCTGAATTTTTGTGATGTGCTCCGGTAGCCATGGTTTTCACCTATATGCGTCATAGTTGAAATTCTTCAGACATCCAAGCCTGTAGATCTTTGGGTCGGGAATGTTTTGGACCAAAATGATGACCTTGTTGGCCAGTCACCCCGTGTTTGAGCCATGATCCGCATGAGCGGTGGCCAAAACCCTGAATATGTGAATAGTCTTATTGAGGGCGATCCACCTACCTGTTTTTTGGTGTAAACTGACCCACAACGGGAGTTCTCAAGCAATCAGTTTTCAAAGGATTCCTCTGCCACGTCCTGCTTGCCCTCAGCGTCGGTTGAAAATAGAGTATACCAACCAATAGTGTGGTTTTACTGGTCAAGAAACCCTTAAACAATGGTTATAAGTTATAACTCTTATTTTATGATTGTTTATGATACTTATAACTAGAGTAATGGGATTTATAAACCATCCAACATAACTTAAAGCCTGATTGGTGACCCATTTTGAACCTTGGTGGCTGGCAGGACACTGGGGCAGTTCTTAGCCCAGCGACCAAAAAGAAGCGAAAGAAGAAGATCAGGTCGGCCATTGGGAAGTGAAGGGTGGAAGTGGGTAAGAACCTGATGAAATAACCCAGTACAATGTTTCACACATAACATATATATATATAATATAATATATATATATATATGTATAATTATAATTATATATATATATATATTCATGCGTATATATATATATACATTCGTGAATATATATATATATACATTTGTGTGTATATATATAAATGTTTATGTATGTACTGTGTATATTTATGTATACATATATACACATCATGACTTACATGATGCTACATGTTACTTAAAAACAGTTTAGGCTAACTTACAGAAGTTATATACATATTATCTTTCACTCATATACTGTAATTTGTACATATACGTATATACGGCTTTGCGCTCGTTTCGGGCGTTCTCAATAACAATGTTTTGTCAATATGGTGTTTGGCAGTATATATATATATATATATGTATATATATGTATGTATATATATATATACATATATATATATATACACATACACATATATATATACATATATATATACATATATATATATATATGTTCGTGTATATATATATACATATATATATATACATATATATATATATATCGATCTATGTGTACGCATCGCACAACTCCAAGTAGAGTGCAAGCGATTGTCACCAGGGTGGTATGGATTTGTTCAAAAGTAGTGGTTTAACAAGTCATTTGATGTTTTGATTTCAATCATGCAGATGTGTTGGGTACATCATTTTAGGACCATATATATATATTATATACATATAATTATATATATATATATAGTTATATATATATGTACATACTGGTGGTGTGATGGTGAATATACCAACAGGGTTTGGGCATTGATTGGTTCAGAAGTTGCCACAATTGCCATCATCACCAACCCTAAATACGGTTTATGTAGAATGGCAAATGATATTGTGCCCCAAAGATCCCCAAAGAGGATTTCAAGATTATAAGCAGCAGCAACGGTTGATATTGATTGTTCACCGACAAGAGTTCAGAGTTGCCCAGCACCAAATATGGTATATATGGTATTTAATTGGCTGTATTTCAGAATGGTCTCAGAATGGTCTTGTCCGTTCCAATCCAGAGGACTTCCCGATCATTGTGTTCCCGATAGCAGCGAGGGTTGTGTTGGGGTCTCCCGCATTTTTGGACAATGAACTTTTCAACCCGGCGAAAAGTGGACACTTCGTAAGGAAAACAAGCTCCAAACAGCTAAAAAGGTGAGAAAACCATAAATTATGTATTTGCTATCATTTCCTTAGAACACATTCTATTTTTTTGGGTACCTCCAAAAAGAGAAGCAAACCAATGATTTTTCAAGAAAACAGATAATTTTACATGGTGGCTTTCCATTGAAGGCTTGGAGTGCTGATTTGACTTGGGTTGCCAGATTGAATGAGAGTAATGCTCCATATATAAGGCCTATGTTTCAGGCCTAAATTTCAGGGAAGATCCCCCAAAATATGGCCAAACATATGGTACGTTTACGTACCTCCATCTGTTGGATCCTGAAGATCTCCCATTGATATCATTTCCTACACAGAGAATATACCATCTGGTTTTTCGTGCAATGATTTTTATTTTGTTTGATTTGAATATACCTGATGAATCCTGATTGTATTTGTTGTCCTTATTTGGTATAATTGTGAGTCATCATGTTCTGAGGAAATAAAATAATGAAATATTAGGAAAACAAATTGCCTCCATCAGAATATGACAGAATTGTGAAATACATCGATCTGTGTCCGCAGAATTTACAGATGTTGCAGGCCATCAACCTGAAATCAAAAAATATATAGTATAATATATTACAAAGCATACTATATTTTTCCAAAATAATATGTTTGTTATAATAATATATATTATATAAATAAAAACTTAGAGAATATATATTATTTTATATATGTCATATATTGAACTTATTATATATATATGACATTATTATCTATATATAATATATTTATCATATGATTAATCAATCACAAGAAATTAATATATATATATAGAAATAATATATTATATATATTATATATATTATATATATTATATATATTATATATATTATATATATTATATTATATATTATATATATTATATATATTATATATATTATATATATTATATATATTATATATATAATATATATAATATATATAATATATATAATATATATAATATATATAATATATATATTATATATATTATATATATTATATATATAATATATATAATATATATAATATATATAATATATATAATATATATAATTATATATTTATGAGGTATGGTTAAGACTCTCGTATACTACTTATGTAAGGAAAGTTCTCTGGTGTTTGGAAAATGCTTAAAATACTGCGTAGCGATAGGGCCCTCCTAAAAGCGATACTTATAATTGTGCATAATGTCCACATTTGAAGTTGTTTTGCACAAAATTACGTACATATAAGAGGCTAAATTAGCGATACCCCATGATATCCTTAGCGATACCTATTTGTTTAAAATAACCCTAGACTAAATTATAAATAAATCCTGTTCTTTTTCCTTTCTTTTTTTCCCCTTATCTTTATTTTTTTCCTTTTCTTTTTTTTTTTATATTCTTTTCTATGTTTTTTTCTTTTTATTTTTATTTTCTTTCCTATCTTTCCTCCTCTTCTCCTCTTCCTTTCCCTTTTTTTTTTCCTCTTCTTTTTCCTATTTTTTTTTTAATTTTGTTTCCTGTTTCCATTTATTTTCCGAAAAATAAATACTAAAACCCCTGGTATTTTTAGTTTTGATGTGTATTCTGCCGATGGTGGGG